GTGCCAAAATAATTTTTAAAGCCAAGAATTTTAGTGTTTTTTTTCTTTTCTTGATTTTGAAAATTATATCTTTAAAATCTTTTAGTTATGAAAACAATTTTTTCTTGTATCAAAATCTTTTGTTTTCATGATTATTATTTTTGTTTGATGAGAGGACTATGTTTATATAACCCTCCGGATTTATTGGGTGTTTATTCCCAATCATGTTTACCGGATGCTAGAATGATTATATGGGTTGGAACAAGCTTAAAGAGCTTGATATATTGTTGCTCTCTTAAAATTCTTTTGTCAAAGATTTTGTTTTGATTGATATATTTATGTGTTCTCATTATCTTGTTTGAATGTGAGTGATTGTTAGCATATCTTTTATGCTTGCTCACATATTTGGCCATGATCTTCATTGCATATATTCTATATGGCTTTTTGATAGGGGGAGCAATCCCTATATATATATTCTTTTTATACTCACCTCTGCTTATTGATAGGGGGAGCTTTCGCTCTCTTATTCTTTTTGTCCCCTTTTTGATGTTGTCAAAGGGGGAGAAATATTGTGAGTATACAATTCTTTGTTTATATGCATGTGTATTATCTTGTATATGTTCATTTCATTCATGCATATATTCCTTTTTGTAAATTATTTGTCATCATCAAAAAGGGGGAGATTGTTGGCCTTCTTGTTTTGATGATGTTTAACAAATAATTTATTACTAATGTTGCTTGTCTAGTGTTTGTGCATTCCTATGTATTGTAGACAAACAACGTTGTTGGAGGATGAATGGAATAGAGCTTCAACAATCATATCCAAAAGAGGTTGGCGGAATGTCGGGTTGAAGCCTATACAATTCAAGTTAAAGATCAAGTTCAAGCTTCATCCTCATGTGTACCAAGTTAAGCTACAATGAAGATCAAGATCAAGCTTGGGTAATTTAGTTTAGGAATTTATATTATGTGTGTTAGTACTTTAAGCTCAATCATATACACACATACACGTTTTGGTTTTGGTTTTGTATATATACAGTTATATATGTATACATATATGTTTTTTGGTTTAATAGGTTTCGAGTTTATATATGAAACAAATAAATAAAATTGGAAAATACTATTTTGTTTCACGTTTATGTGCCTATATATGATTTCGTCTTTAACAAGTTATATTTAATGAAATCATATTTAGTGTTTTGTATAAATTGCATAGAATATGCAATTTTATGAAAATATGGTATTTCTAGGTTATAGACTTCATAACAACATGTTATATCTTTTATCAAGTCTATACAATCATTTCATAAGGTTTCAAAACGTTGTTTAAGTCAAAATATCAAAATATCAATTTTCAGGTTTTTCATGTTTTTGAACATATTTGCAAAATAATGATATTTTTCATTTGGGAAGTCCTTTCTGATAACCAGTCGCTGTAGCATGTTTATTATCATGTCTACAAAGTTTTACATTTTTTAGAATTTATTTGATATTTTTAAACAGCATTTTAAAATCAGCAAAACAGTTTTCAGAACCTGTCATATCAGTTTTCGGTCGACCGCACCGGTCGACCGCTCGTTTGTTCTTTCGACAGTAGTCTCCAGAGAGTTCGTCGGGCGACCGCCGCGGTCGACCGAGAGCTTCCTTCGGTCGACCGCACCGGTCGACCGGATAAGTCAGCTGGTGTTTTTCTCGTGTTTGACCTGGATAGCGGTCGACCGAAATTTCCGTCGGTCGACCGATCGTTTCTGTCGGTCGACCGCGAATTTCTTCGGTCGACCGCTGCTCGTTCTGACTGCTTCCAACGGCTATTTTTGTTACCGTTGCTGGGGTGTTTTTGGTCTTTTGTTTTAGGAGTTTTGACTGAGTTTTGAGAGGGTATAAATACCCAATTGCTGATCTCTTTTCAAGTAATCAAGAAGAGTTTTAAACAAAATTTTTAAACAAGGGTTTAGGGTTTTACTGTTTGTTTAAAAGATTGGGTTTCTGTTTACAAAGGAGGAAGTTTTCACTGCAGATTGAGGGATTCATTCTCAATCCTCTTCATCCTCTTCTTTGTGTTTATAGAGAAGTTTTCTAACTCTTTTCTCTAGCAATTTCATTATTGATTTTCATATTCTTACTATTGCTAGTTTGCTATTTGAGTTAGATTTTATTTTACTCATTGTTACACACACCCACATTGAGCTTATTGTATCTTTCATACATAGTATAGTTGGGTGGTGAGAGATTGTAACTTTGAGTTGTGCTTAATTGAGTTCTCATCCATAGTTGAGAACAATCATTTGTTATATTGTGCTTATTGAGAGATTCACTTTGTAATACACTTGTACACCGAGTGAGGAGTGTGTGGTGAGAGTCGGGGATCGTCCCAAGAGGAGTGGCGTCGGTTGACGTGCCTAGAGAGAGGTTGTGACCGAGCACTTGAGGGAGATACGGCTAGGTCCAATACTTGTGAGGGTGTAGAGTGTGATTGCAAGAGTGTGAGTTGTAGAGTTTTCGGTTAGCTAAAAAACCGAGTGTGTAGAAGAAGTTTCGGCTTCCAAACCGGATTGTGTTAGTGGATTTCTCCCCGGGAGTGGGGAGCGGAGACGTAGGACGGAAGGTCCGAACTCCGTGATCATATTGCTTGTTTGAGTGTGCTTTGGCGTTCATTCATATTTATGTTCATACCTTATATCGCCATTGTCATTAGCTCATTATCTATATCATCCACTATCTTGTTTAGATTGTTTACCCCTTGTGTTAGTTTATATATATCCTTGCATCATATAGGATATATCTCTTTGTTGTTTATATTGCTTATTTGCTTATCCTAGCTTACATATATTGTTATATTTCACTCTTGCTAGGATAACTTGTTAATAAGTTTTAATTGGTATTTAATCGGATTAGATTAGCATAAGACCCTAATCAACCCCCCTCTAGGGTCTAACAGTCGGGCCAGTTCAAATTTATATGGGTTGGGTCAAAGTTTACCCAACTCGAATTGACCCGACCCGACCCATTTGTCACCCCTACCTTGACCCCTCTCGTGCCAATACCTATTGATACCGCCATTTTGTACAAATCTAACAAATGCCATGCCGTTTTTATACACATGACAAGACCATGCTGAAGAAAACATAGTTCTATCGTTTAAGTCAATCCTAGATTTTACAAAATGGAAAGCACTAGAGTAAAGTTTATATCAGTCAACGAATATTCAATAATCAACTAAAAGGAGACACTCATGCACATAGTGGCAGAGGCACGTTGATCTAAGTGTGGGCAAATACCCCACTGAATTCTTTTTTGCATTATTCCACCCCCCTCCCCCCACCCCCCACACACACACAATGGAGTAAATATATTATTGAGACCCTAGCTTATAATTCGACCCTAATTGGTCTCTTAGAGGGGTTATTGACTGGTGCAATTTTGGGGTAAGTGGATAATTTTTGGGACAACACATTTTTGTGTTATTCATTACGATATTGAGAGTGGGATTTTACTTTATGGTGTTATTAATTTTTTGAAAAGTGGGATAATGACCCATATGGTATAAAATTATCTCACTCAAATAGAAAAAAACTTTGCTCCTAAGTTAAAATTTACCCAAACTCGTATTGGGATAGTTTGGGACAAGCGGGGTAATTTTGAAAAACATTCATATATTAACTACAAATATATGTCCAATTATACTGGATACATAATTAAATATTTAAAATACTTAAAATAAATTATAGCTAAATATAAAATATTAAATAATTAAAAATAATTAGTCATGTTTTTAATATATCATATTAATTACAAGTATATATATTATAATATTGTATT